TTGTTTTTAGCTGTTTCCATGGAAACACCACTTAGTGTCAAATGTGTTTGATGGTTTTATCCGGAGCATATCTCTTACAGTTTACATGCTAGGTTCACCAAACTTCACACACATGTTAATCATTACCCATTGATGTGCCTTTTGCTATTTTGCTATTTTCCATGGAAACACGACTTATTACCAAATGTGTTTGATGGTTTTGTCCGGAGCATATCTATTAAGGTTTACTTGCTAGGTTCACCAAACTTCACACACGTTAATCATCACCCATTGATGTGCCTTTTGCTATTTTAAAGTATTTGCAGAATTTTGTTTTTTGGTGTTTCCATGGAAACACGACTTAGTGGCAAATGTGTTTGATGGTTTTGTCCGGAGCATATCTATTAAGGTTTACATGCTAGGTTCACCAAACTTCACACACATGTTAATCATTACCCATTGATGTGCCTTTTGCTATATTAAAGTTTTTGCAGAATTTTGTTTAGTTGTTGTTTCCATGGAAACATGACTTAGTGCAAAATGTGTTTGACAGTTACCTGGCCACAGCATATGATCGAAACTATACATGCTAGGTTCACCAAACTTAGTACACAAGTTAATCATGACCCACAGATATGCCATGTGCTAAAAAATAACAATCTTCATCTACGTCCACTTCCTTGTGGAACAAGTTCAATTGTATGTCACTTCTACACTTGTTTGCATATGAATTGCGGAAATGTTTTTTTATTTCATTCAGTTGTTTGTGTGGTTTATTCTTGATAATTTACAGACCGCTCTCACAGTTGGGATGTTGCTGAACAGCTTTAGACATGAAATAAAGCAAATGAAACTTCACTGTATTACAATTAGCGATGAGGGGGAGAGGTTCTTCTGGTAAATGTATCATTTTGTGGTCTCGCTATTCATATGATATTTGAATGTCTTGCGTGACATTTGCAATGCAGCCGTGGACTATGGCAATGGTGAAGATATGGAAAATGATAGACTTGTAATGGGAAGTAAACGATATGTACAAAGGTACAGTTTGAATTTTTGCCTTGTGGGAGCTGGTGATGTGCACATTCTATTTCCAATTTTGATAATACGTCTCAACAGTTAAGTGGTGCTAGAGGTGTTTGGTGCTTTGAATAGGATTCAAGTTAATGGTGTTGATATTACCACGTTTCTAATGTATTGTGATGGTTTTCCGCCTATTCGTGAGAAATGTATTTATGGAAAACTTTAGAATTTAAGTTTTCATGTGGGTAATGGTTAATCTGAAAACGCTAACTTTATAACACTTAACTTATAAATTCGGAATAAACACGGATAAGAATGTGTTCGCAGGATTAAAGCTTATACCCTAGTAAACATGATGTGTAGTGTGTGCTGCAATAGAAAAGTCTTGCCACAACGTTACAAAACAGTTAGGTGTGGATCATTATATTGTTTTTCACGCTGATGATGTTTTATTTAGTATTTTTAATAATTATAGATAATTTATTACAGCGTCAAGTAGCAACTGTATTGAAAAAATGCATATGTACTTTACGAGCACCTGCAGGTTATTTATTTCATTCAATACATGGTATATTTCTCCAAAGTTGTCCTGTAAAGTAATAAACATCTTCTATGGATACATGAGCTCATCATAACATAGAAACGATTACAAACATTCACATTTAGTTTGGTTTTTAAAGGTGACGGGGTCAAGGTAACAAGAGGGCGAACCATTCCTTATAATAACCTTAGGTTCCAAATTGTTTTTGAAGTAGTACAGTGATGTATGGAGTGTGTATTCCACATGTATGTGTTCACAGAAACATGTTTGTTGGGAGCTATAAACCATGAAAGTCTATGAGAGAATGTTAGACTCAGAACTGAAATAAAGATGTCCACAATGCATTTATTCCGAATTGTGATTTTTCTTTTTGTACAGTTGTATGCTTTAATACTTTAATTTCCCATAAAATGGTTATGAGAACAGTGTGACACAAATATTTAGAATGTTAAAGAATAACTAAGGTCTACATATCAAACGGACATTTTATACTCTTCTTCAGGGAATGCATACTTTCATGTAGACACATGACAGTGTTTCATATCCCCTCAGAGTATCAAACAACCACTCAACCAGGATCAGCGCTTCATGACTGTTGCTGGGTTGACGCTTTCCGTTGATGTAGACAAGGTGGTCACACATCTGCTTGAATACTGGAGTGACACCTTTTGGATTCGGGCTTGTGGTTTGTGCTCGGATATCGTCAATGTCAGATTTATTGACGGGAAGGATGTAATCTACTGCTCTTATTGCATAGAAGAAAATGCGATACAAAATATGTAACTGCATAAGTGATTACGTTTCTACGTATTTATTCCTTGCATTTTATCACAAAATGAAATATCAGCGTATATATCGTTAAAGGAAACCCACACGCACTGACAAAACTAGAACTGAAATGATGGCCATAGTGAGATACAAACCACCAATAATATATTGTATACACGCATGCAGAAACTAATGGACTCAAAAAATCGTGTATGTCAACAGAAATGTGAATACCTGAATCTAAATTAATTGACACTTCAAACAGATTGTTTCCATCTAATTAAAGCCGCAGTTGAAGGCGGTGAATGTATTATGAAGCCCTTACTTAACAATTTCGCGAAAGAAACTATCTCGATGCATGCAATAGGGCTATGCAATGAACCAAGTAAAAACATGCTTGATTCATGCCACAAGTATCGGTTCCTTAAAGGTCACATGCAACGTAAAACACAACTTTGCAGATTCTGATACCTTTTGGTATGGACATACCGAAACAAATCGTCAAAAATGCAAATTCAACTTATAAAGTTGAAAAATAACGCGATGAAAAATAACGCGCGAAATCGGAGTTCAAACGTTTCACTAATTTTCCCCAGACTTTTCTGGGGAAAACGGGTTTCAACAGCAGGGCTGCGCTCATAGCACGTGCGCAGTGAAATAGGTTCGCGGAGCTTGGAAGCGGGTTGTCCTGTGAATACTCAGTGAGAGCTATTTTCCTAATGTTTTGTTGATATCTCACAGGCGTGAGCTTTTTATATGTTATGACAGTAAATTAACTGTTTATATAATTTCATTTGTCTATTTCACCACACGTTCTTCTTACCGAGACACTTTCTCAGTTCGATACTTAAAAGCAATGTCATTATTTAGCGTTGACAGAATTTCTAACTGTGATACAGATATGTCGTTGTCACAGACAAAACTCAATGTCTTGTTTTATTGACACCTGTGTGTCTACCTGCCTGTCTGCTAATGACAATATTCAATACACAGCTGCTATCACTGACCACATGCAATTTGAACTTAACACCAATCAGGCTATACACCATAAACAAAATGCATTGATTTATGGCCCGAGTTCGGTCTCTGTCACATTATGTAATTACACAGACAGGCAGGTGTGATACTTGTACACATGACATGTTATGATGTCTGTTGATTGCAAAATGTTATACACAAAAAATGAGCATGTATTTACAAAACCCAACATCTCTCTATATATACACACAATTAGCCGTGAAGGCATCTGCAAATGAACCAGCCGTTACACTTGAGTGCACACCCACCCGCTCTGACTGGGTTCGGTATCCCGGCTGCTTCGTTTCTTGGGAAGTAAACCGAAGTACACAATTTTGCACTTTCGATTTGCGATTGTACGCTTATAATTTTGTTTACATATTTTTTCGTAACCAGCAATGTATATTATATGTCATGAATAAGTGATAATTGTATTTTAATTATGTTTGATTTTTTTGGTTGCATGTGACCTTTAACATTCCTACCCGGGATGCCTACAGGTGGTGGGTCATTTTAAGATGGCGTCTATAGTATTTGCAGTAAAGAACATTTATGTACAATATCATTAACAAGGATGAGTTTGTTTACTGACATTATAACTTTAAGAAACTTAAAATTGTAATAATTACCACAGACGACATTTATAATAATTTAAGAAAAGCAAATGTGTTCCCACTGCAAAGGTTAAAGTTGGTTGTACTTGGAGTTCTAATGTGATGTACTTTTTAAGGACTACAGCTCCAATAATATGAACACGATTGATGACACGCTCGTGAAAGTACCTATGTCAAATACGGCGACGAATATCACGAAAATGTTGGGGTTTTTTTTAAGTGTGTGCAAGTTTGGTACATGGAAACTTTGTTTAGATCATACTAACCTACAGTTCCTGTTTATGTTGATGTTCTGTGTGATGTATGGTCTTTCATGCAAAAACAATTTTGTTTTGGACAATTTCAACTTTACACTACACATACATTTTTAAATATAGATGTGCTGTTATAAGACATACTGTAGGTGTTGTGACGTGCAAGTGAGATTGCCTGTTATCAAACATATTGTTAACGGGTAAAGCTGAAACACGTATTATTTTTTGGATTACACTTTCACAGTAGAGTGCATGTTCTAGTACTGTTCTAGTTGTATTACCATCCGGGATTCGAACCCAACAATGGAAAGGAATGCACTTCACCAGTTCGACTTGTGCTGTGCAAAAACATTAAGAAAGGATGGGGAATTGAAGGATGAAGAACTATTTGTGATGTTTATTTAAATGCTGCCCTTCACAGTTAAATCGCATTGATTTTGTATGGATAATGTGAACTCGCCGAATAGGTGTGGCATATAGTACATGAGGTCTGGTCTTCCGTTGGAGAAAGGCTCACTTTTTTATGCCTTGGCTGATGGCAATTCCACTCGTCACGTTGAATGACCTCCATACAGCAATAACGGACACATTGCCTGCCAATGTTGTTGACATGTGTTTATCATTTTATTAGGAGGGTATACAGTATGGACCAACATAAAGGGAAACATGAATATTTAAACGCTGTTGTTGTGTTTTGTAACGCTACCTACATGTACAGACTCAAATATGATACAGATGACGAGAGCAGAAATTCCTACCCATCAGCAAGAAGAAGATATATTATATACGCCCTACCACACACTTTTACTTATATTTTAACAGCAAGGTTGTACAGCATGTGACATATTGTTTCCTGTACAAAATCCATTGCACTATTGATATTATACCACGTGCTAAAAGGCTATTTCTCACCAGGCGACCAAGATCAGCATACTTCAATTTCACTTTGAATACATTATTTTTATACCTTTCTAACTGATTGGTAAAACTGAGTGAGTTTCCAGTTTGTAAATCCTTGAAGAGATCAATCCAATATCCTACTCCGCTTTCTTTCATTGACCTCCACCATCGTTCGATCCTCTACAACATGAGTAGATAAAAAAACATATTACGTGCCCTCTTCAACATGAAAACATTTATGTATATATGTTTCTGTCCGTCCGTGCATCCACCCACCCATGCATATACCCATCTATACATCCACGTATCTATTAATACATGAGCCTTCTCGCCTGGTTTGATTTTGATCCAGCAATAATGGCACTCTTGTCTGCGGCCATGTCGTCCTCGTGCATCCATCGAAAGGCTTTCTGTATATCCTCAATACATGTATTTTCTGTTCCGCCATCCATACGTATGCATCTTGGTACCCCTGTAAAAATACTCCAAGATATTGTGATGTTCTGTGAGAAAGAAAGACTGAACATGAACACATTGTACCCATGAGTGTTATCGAACCTTATGAATACTTTCAGAACTAGGCTGCCTAACCACCCTCGTGCACAAGTTTGCAAAATGCTTACCTTGCATAGCGTCAATGAAGTTGACAAAGTACGAAGCTACCACGTATGGATTATTGTTTGTTTCCGACACATTCAGCCACACAACCTTTCTGGAGTACCTACATCGACAAACAAATATGTTAGAAGTATGTGAGTCAAAGGTACACGCGTTTTAGGTGATGAAAAACACATATGCACTAGTGATAAAAGTTTACACATCTGTAATTAATGGCGTTTACTGGTAAACATATTATGTTATGGCGTTTGCCTAATCAAGTGTTTTAACATGTATAACGCATGTATAAATTGATCAAATTACACCACGTACCCACAGATGGCTCCGTGTATTGCAAATCCAAATGGTTTCAATTTATCATAACCATCGATATGTATGAGGAGTTAGGACCACTATTTCGGTACAGTCTTCTTGTCAAACGGTGAGACGAACGCATGTCCACGCCTTCAGGGTCAAGTGTGTGCTGCAGTCTTAGCACTGTATCCTTTATTGATGAAATCAATGTGGAAAAAACCGTGTTTCCACTTAATTGTGTAACATTTCATTGTGGTTATCGTTTCCAAAATAATACAAAATGATCGATAGGTTAGTAAAATGGGCCTGTCATTTGTTTACAGTGTTGGGGACAAATTCATTGGAACATATGTTAAGTCTGGTATATTTGTTACAATTATGACGTTAATCATAAATGTATAACAGTGCTTTCATATCCTCCCTAACAAATTCAGATTTTCCCCTAAAAACATGACTCGACGGCATGTAAACATTAAACGAAGTGACGTATATAGCTATGGACTCCACACCATTCACAGAACTGCACATTAATGTATTTTACTATTAAGTTTAATACACACCTCATCCCAGTGATTTACTGCCCTACTCTAGCATATACCACGTAAACGTACACGACATCTTTTCCTCCCACAGTAAGCTGGCATGACGTGATATAACATGAATACTGTTTAAAGCGGCATGATGCCAGTTCACTCATTCCACATCCTTTGCACGTTCCTTGGTACAGAAAGACCATACGAGGACAAGAGACGTGCTCTCATAGATCTACAGCCGAGATAGGATCCCGTGTCATTGATTTCATGCTGAAACAATCAGAAGAGTTATGATGTAAACATTTACTTGAATTGATATTTTTGAACGGGTTATTGTAAGATGGTTGATTTCTTACATAGTGGTGTTGCGATGAAACAAATCGAAAATCGATCGAAAGAAGGATTAAAAATGATTATCGATTTAACAAAATATATTTAGTTGTTTTTGTATAACACCCTTAAATTAAGTATACAAACCATTTAATTTGATGAATATTCACGAACTAACATGCGCTCAACAGCATAAAGCTATGCGTATTGTAAAAGTTTAATCACTTTTATTGCGTGTACAGACGTGTCTTAGACTATAGGTGGCAGTCTATGTGTACGTATCTCCTTATATTTATACAAATAACTATAATGACAATTCTTTGCCTTTTTGAATTTAGTATTGTTTTACGCCGCACTCAACACTTGTTCCACCCTAGTCAACCTGTAAACAATTACGAATAAAACCGCAAACGAGCGTTGCATCCGATCCCTATAACGACAAGCAACAACTTGCGGAGGTCGTGTTATAACCCGAGTTTCATATCACCTCACCCCAACCATCCCACCCACCTCTGTGTGTGTGTGTGTGTGTTTGTGTGTGTGAATAGATGTATGTATGATAGATTAAACATGACCATACCCAAACTTCCAAAAATGCAATTAGAACAGGGTCCACGTCACCCTAACGTACTACACACACAATAACACTGTACAGTAACACTGCGTTAGTGTCATGAATATTCACTGACTCACATTTCGACTATCTAACGTCCTGCATAGCCAAACATTTCTCAACTTAATAACCATCCTTAAAAAGGATATATTAAGTCCTACGTAGGAGATACTAAGTCCTACGTAGGAGATATTAAGTACTACGTAGGAGATACTAAGTCCTACGTAGGAGATAGTGACCCCCCAAAAAAAATTTCACCGTGGCCCTACTACGCTTCCGTATGTGCCTGCATAGCTCTAGAGACAACTTCTAAATTACTGACACCGCGACGTCTGAGATGCATTCTTCGTAAGTGACGTTTCAGTTGTCGAACACTGGAAAACATTGTTAATAAGAAATGCATTTAAAATAAGTGGGGGAAAACGAAATAACTTTGAATGACAATTTAATAACCAATTGTGATGAGACATAATTAAGGATGACATGCAAACTGAAATGAACTTGAATTCGAATTGGAAAAAATACATTGGCGTGTGGCTGATTCAGGTGTGCAAAATACATTATGTTTAACTGCATTATTGCAGACCAACCTGCAATGACGCCGTACTTGGTGCAGTGGGAAAAATATATGAAATACTGCATGTATGTATTGACTCTTCATTAAATAAGTTATGCTACAAACTCTCAATAGAGCCTCTTTAAATGTGACACGGGATCAGAATATAACAACAAAGTAGGTTCTTCAAAACTGCCACTTTGTTTATTTTTGGAGAGATTTATAGTTAGGTGCGTCAGTGAGTGAGTTTAGTTTTGCTCCGCACTGAGCAATGACCTGAGCTATATGGCGGTGGTGTGTAAATAATAAATGTAAATGGGTCGGGAGATGAGAAACACAGACAAAATACGGACGGCCTAATGGACATGTGTCATCATGCAATGAGTTCAAAGTAAAGTTACCGTGAACGTATTTAGTAGTATATTACTTTATGATGAATAATTATACTGTACTATTATACAAGCAAACATGTCATTAACATTACTTACCACATGTGGAACTTGTGCTTGAAGCTCAGAATAATGCATATTTCCTGATAGGTAAATCCACAATGAAAATACTGTCGGATACATTCATCCCCTTAAAAGGTTAAGGAACCAAAACGTACAACACGAGAATACATTTTGTGCAAAGGATCATTCATGTGTAACATGTAAATATGGACTGCTACTGAAAAAAAAAGAAAAGAAAAATAAGTTTCACCAAACTGCCATACATGCCGTAGAGTGCATTGCTGAAATTGTTTTAAAGATACATGTAGGTAATTTACATAAATGGTCAACTGGGATTGGGCAAAAGGTACCCTATTCCGAAAAAGTATTTGTAAAAAGAGGGGGTATTTAAACTATATGAGATAAGAGTTGCTCAAATACAATCTTGAACGCGTTTAAATATGTGATTATTATTTGTTTCCGTGAGACGTTGATCGCCAGAGAGAATATACTACATTGTACGTGTACTAAGCAGTGATAATGTTAGTGAACATTATGTATGTTGGGACTGTGCATTTGGATGTTTAAAAAACAGAAGTGTATGTTGTTTTCATAGGGATTCAACAAAACAGTACAAAGTATGCGATGAGTCAACATAGGAAAGACCGACATTTGGGGAAGCGCTAGAATGTATTAAAACGTTAAGTGTTGAATGCAGGACGGAGAAATGTGATGGGGAAACTGTTCTTCCAATCATACTTTGAACATAATATTGTTGGCATTGAACTATGTTCTGAATTTAAGGGGTTACACCTTTCACAATTTGCAGAAGGTATAAATTAATACTGGGGGTTGATGTTTGTAAATTTTATTCTGTAGTATTTCATTGTTTTGCCGTAATTGATTTGATATATGTTACGTGATAGAACATACATGGCTGCAAATGATTAATATTATTTTTATGGGTGACAGGCCGGGAAAGCCACATTTCAATTACATGGCTGTAGCCGGTAAAGCCACATTTCCAATAGATTAATTAATTAATGGATTACCGTAACCGGTAAAAGAGTGTCCCCATGTATTATATTGTGTACAGGCCTGTAAAGGTTCATAGGATATATTTACGGCCAATTTATGGAGGCTGGACAATGTATTGCGTTTGAGTTCTTACTTCATTAGAAAGTTTAAATTATTTAGCTAATTTTCGCTAGGTAGATTTATTGGAATTGGAAGCTTGTAATATATAACTTTGTAACCGGTGAATATTTAGGATATATCAAAATAAAATGACACTCATCTTCAACAAAAATGTTACCTTGGCTATAGCAATATTCACAATTACAATCTTCCCTTGGAATATTACTGTATCTACCAATTTCTAGCATAGTGCGATGAGTAGATGTTCGCATTTGCGTGATTATTTTCCTATCACTAGGATTTCTAACTAGATCCAAATACAATTCCAAACAAAACACGTGTTTTAAATTTTTGTTAAGAAATAATTTACCATTTAACTCTAAATAAGATCTCCATTTTTGAATATAGATGTCAATGACCGTTGCTTAACAACTTTACAAAAATTATTAACATTTACAATTAGAAATTCCCATAACCAATTTCATACAAAAACCTTTTAACACTACGTAACCATGATTTATAACCATTATTTAGACCATTTAAACAAAAACATAAACGACCCGCTATATACAGTTTTCACTGTATAATAACTTAAACCAATAACGGAACACACGGACATACCTATCTACATATAAAGGGAACCTCCCAAGTTCGCCGTACACATAATGTGTAGATGATTTGGCATTGATCTGCAAACTACGCCTGCAAAATTTTAAGTGAATTCTTTCAAAATTCAGAACATTTTACAGATTAAGATTTATTATTATGTGATATTATTATATGTAATATACCTATTAATATATTGTATTGTGCTAATTATAGAAATAAAACCTGTTGTGATCTGAATAAAATTCTGAGGAAACATGTCTTGTTTTGTTAAATACGGTAACCTGTTTGGATGACAAAGCATGTTTTGACAGCATAGCCGTGAGAGCCACATTCAATGTTCACGCAACCATGACTATTGCCGGGAGAGCGACATCAATTTTGGCTATCTATTTCGGAAATGTGGCTCTCCCGGCCTGTAACCCTTTAATGTAGCTCATCAGGGGGCATGGTGGGCGAGCTGGCAAAGGCGCTAGGCTAGTGATACAGCGAGCTTGAGGTGACAGGATAGAGCCCACCTGAGTCCGGGTGTAAAAACTTTGTTTGCAGACTCTTTCCGTGTTGTGACAGCCACTAGTGTACAGTACACAACCCTGTGCACTTAAAAGAACCCACGAATACGTTGGTAAATTACCGGATAGTGACCACATGAATACGTGCAAACACCTTGATGCGGGTACAGCAATGTGCAGTAAACTTGGACAAAGTACTGTGACTACGTGTCCAAGTCCACCCAGCTGTGAATGGGTACCTCCTTAGGATGAGAAAGCCACAATAACTCGGTGCGCCTAGTGGCTGCAAGAGTGTATACTGCCCTGGGAGTTGAGATTGATAATACGATGTGCCATTGAGACGGACATCCAATGATCGAGGAGAAAAAATACCAGCGCCTTGAGCATGCACTAGTTGCACTACTATTGGCAAATAAGTATCTGGACATTAAAAACCACATAACTCTAGTGACAACAGAACACCTTAATATATTGCATAAAAACATAGCATGTATCTCACTTGTTTATTAAATGCTAAACATGTACATGCATGAAATCAATTGAGGATTTATGGTAGGATACGTGTTTCAGGAGGCGTTTGACGTATTTCAAGGCTTCGATCAACCATGCTTGAAAACCTGTGAAATGATTTGAAAGAAAACATTTGACCATTGTATGCACGATCATCTACAAAGGAGAGGAAACGACTACTTACCCCAACTTTTGTATAAAACAAATGGCGGCATACACACGCATGCGCATTCTTTAAACATTTGCTTGATCATGCGCAACAAAACTTTACCTTGAACACCAAAGTGCGACGCGACAATGCGACAACGCGACATTTCATGAAAATGTCGCGTTGTCGCATTGTCGCGTGTCGCGTTTTAGTAAATAAGTTATAATAATACATACTATACTCAATACTTTAACAAAGTATGACACGCGACGCGCGACAACGCGACATTTCATGAAAATGTCGCGTTGTCGCATTTCGCGTGTCGCGTTTTAGTAAATACCTTATAATACATACTATCCTCAATATTTTAACAAAGCGCGACACGTGACGCGCGACAACGCGACATTTCATGAAAATGTCGCGATGTCGCATTGTCGCGTGTCGCGTTTTAGTCAAATACGTTATAATACATACTATCCTCAATATTTTAACAAAGCGCGACACGCGACGCGCGACAACGCGACATTTCATGAAAATGTCGCGATGTCGCATTGTCGCGTGTCGCGTTTTAATCAAATACGTTATAATACATACTATCCTCAATATTTTAACAAAGCGCGACACGCGACGCGCGACAACGCGACATTTCATGAAAATGTCGCGATGTCGCATTGTCGCGTGTCGCGTTTTATTAGCTACCGTGGAATTTCAAAACTATTTCAAGGATGATTATGTTTAGATATTTTTAAAGGGCTAAGATACACAGGGATCGAACTCAGAGTAATAATAAATGTGGCCGTGAAGTCTGTGGGTTAAGAGTTCTTGGTTAATGGAATGGATGTGTTGAAACTGGCCATTTTGCTGAAAATTATTATGACTGAGTAGGTGTATGTTTGAAACGATACAAGTACATGTGTATCGCTTGGTATATTATTATTATTATTATTATAAATAATATAGGATTCAAATAGAATTGAAAAAACAGACATCGGAACACATTATTGTAATGAAATATCTTGCTAATTTAACAAGTTCCGTAAACATTGAGTGAGTGAGTGAGTGAGGAGTGAAAGTGGAGTGGAGTGGAGCGGAGAGGAGAGGAGCTGAGTGGAGAGGAGAGGAGATGAGCGGAGAGGAGAGGAGAGGTGCGGAGAGGAGAGGTGAGGAGAGGAGAGGAGCCGAAAGGAGAGGAGTAGAGAGGAGAGGAGCGGAGAGGAAAGGAGCTGAGCAGAACGGAGCGGAGAGAGGAGAAGAGCGGAGAGGAGCGGAGTGGAGAGGAGTAGAGAGGAGAGGAGCGGAGAGGAGAGGAGCCGAGAGGAGAGGAGGAGAGGAGAGGAGCTGAGCAGAGAGGAGAGGAGAGGAGTGAGAGAGGGAGGGTTGGTTTCTGCCTCTCCAAGGGTACGCAACTCTGCCAAGCGATTTCATCGTTTCTAATATCATAATGATAACAGTCCATTTGTATGGCGTTTTCCCAAGAACAATATCACGTTCAAAGCCGGCCTAAACTGTCTTTGAGGTGCTGGATGGTTAAGTGGTATTACCATCTCATTCTGCCTGGTATCCATCCACTGCTGGTTGAACAGAGGCAGATGTCGGACAAATTCATCAACGTCGGACAGGATTGTACCAAGAAACACTGTCAGGAGCCACACTGTCGAACATAGTGACCCATTGGAGGACTTCACCTGATGTTTATGCCGATGTGGCCTGAATTTTACCAATATTTGAGTTTTTTCACAACCTGTGAGCTTGATATAGGTGAAATGTTCAAAGTGATGAATGTGTATGGTGCTGGGATTCGAACCTATGATCATAGTTATCTAGTGTGAATAAGAGACACAACCCTGCACAGCAGATTGCCTCTTCTTGAATGACAGAGCCACCGTGTGCCGTGATTACAATGAATAGTAGCGCTAATAATTTGTATGGCTGCTAAACACACTTGATTGGCTAAACACAGTTACAATATATAAAATAATAAAGCAACAATGAAAGATTTCCATTAAGTTCAGGAAATGCAGCCCCATTGCCATTACGAGCACTATTTCATTGTAAAACCATTGGAGGTAACAAAAGACCAGTGAAGTCTGAAATAGAGTATAACATTGTCTGCGCATGCGTAGACTAATTGACTTTCTACACATGCGCACCGGTAAATCGAAAGGGGAAAACGCGACGCGACA